GATATTAAAAGTGGCTGTTTGGTTAGAGAACACCTGAAGACCCGTGACACAACATTACCGCGAATACACAGAACGACATTACCGCGAACGACATTACCGCGAAGGACGTTACCGCGAACGACATTACTGTGAGGGCATTGTGAGAGTGAGTTCGAAAAGTAGTTTCACACAAAACATATTTTCATGATCCGAACCTAGATATCTGTGACTGTATCAGATAATGACTAGTCATCACATAACTTCAGTTAAGTTTGAAAACATGATGTACAAAACACAAAACCGGCCGTTTTATTCGTCTTTTCCAATAAACAAGTGTTCGCGGTAATGTCGTTTTCTATATTCGTCGTAATGTCGCTGTATCTTGTAATTGTATCACATAATGACTATTAACTACATAAGTTCGCCCAGGTTTCAAAACATGATATACAAAACCAGGCTCATTTATTCTTCTTTTCCAATAAACGAAGAAATATGGTGCTGGGACCTTCGGCAATGTTTAATTATATATTGCCGAAAGTTCAGTAATTAGCGAATTAATTAATTACTACTAATTAAAGCTGTGCTTTTAATGTATTTGCGATATTTACAAAACTGGACTATTGGCTATTGCCAAAGTTCCAGTCTGGTATTTTGCGAAAATCCAACAAAAACACAACTTTCGACAATTGCCGAAAGTCCACTGCGAAAGTCATGCTACCCGTGGGTATTATATACTTGTGTCACCGGCAAAACAAAAGGGTGAGTCGGAAGTTGACCGGGGTCTCATAAGACTTTTCACTCTTCGAGGAGTCCCGTAGGATTTGCCATAATTGTCCCAAAATCATATAACTTCTGTCTGAAAACTGGAATCTCCTGGGACTTTTATGGGGCTCCGTGAGAGTCTCACGGGACTTCGCATTTTTTCGGAACTTCCACGGGAGTTCTTACGGGACTGTAAAACTGTAAAAACTCCGCACGCTTTAACCGTGCTAACCTGACGGTTTTAACATCAAAATCTGACGCTCTTTCATCCTGACAGCTAAAACGCCAGATCAACATGACATTTTAACCGCTATCTATGATTTTGTATTGATGAATGAAATAGCCAGTAAGCAGAGTTTCAGTTTGAAAAAGCACACTTTGCTAAAGAATAGTATAAGGAAATACCGTCCATTTATTTATTTCTCTCGGAAATTTCCTGTTATGTAGACTGATGCATATAATGACCCAATTTATGTACTTTGCATACTGCGTGTTTCAAAACGATTACTCGTTTTTCTGTTTGCATCTTAGTTCAAAATTATAGTCAAATTTTAATTTTTTTAGAAAAAAGATGCACCAGTTAATTCTCTACAAAAAAGCAAATTATACATTTTCTATTCTCATCGAGTCCACAACGATAAATGCTCTTGAAATAATCGATCAAATAAACTTAATTCGTGCTCAATTAATCAAAACTTCTAAACAGCTCAACTTTAAACAGTAATCAACTCTAGGCCGTGTTCTTACATTGATTCGAGCAAAAACTATTATATCACAAGCTATATTGATTGAATGTTCTATTTCAAGAGTATTCGTCCTTATAATCTTCTTGTACTTTTTGCATCGATAAAACAGATCAGTTAATGCGAGAAGAACTCTATTTCAAACTAATAATATATTCAGATAATGATAATTATCGATTCAGAATAGAACATAATTGGCTAACTCTACTTATGTAAATTATTCTGCGACTTGTCGATTATATTCGACTCAAACTTCGATCGCTTAATTTCTAGAGCTCAATTGTTGACGCTCAAATATCGCTTTACATTGTTTCTTGAAAATATTCCATTCCAATAAAACTGTGTACTACAACGATAACGCTGAAATATTGTTTATTCACAAACTCTCACTATTTGCCATCTCTTTCTCAAATATCAACTCACTCTGATAGCGATTGCTTTAAGCTGCATACAATTTGACCTGTGTGTGATACACGCTGACTTTATGAGAAGTGATATGAATAATTGTTCTACTTAAACTTGAATATTTTGGGAAAATACGGAATTAGAAATTGTTTTTCGTAGAATTACGTGTTCCGAACTTGATAGAAAAACCGAATGTCTCCATCTTCTATCAAACATTAGTCGCGAAACAGTGATGTGCCTGTGAATTAGAAACGTACAGTGTTATATTAATGTTTTTAAAAATAAACGTCGATTTCTCAGTGTTATCACATTTATGTCAATATGTCAAAAATGTTCTTAACAAAACAAAAGAGAAATTTAATATGTGTGCTGTAAGCTTAGACACATAAATGTAGAAAAAGTTTAAAAAAACATATAACTTATCATCGGATCAACAAGTTGACAATGCTTATTTGGACGAAGAGAAAGTACAAAAGAAAGACTCCTGTCTGATCTGTCCTAGCTAGGGATGTTCGGTTCTCGTGAAGAACCGGAACCACGGTTCTCTTAATTCGGTTTTTTATCGGGAATTGGAATTGCGATGCCGGTTCTCACAATGCAATCAGAACCGCGGTTTCTTAGACGGTTCCTTTTTTTTCGAAACCGAGACCTTTTGATTAGCCTTTGTTTTAACAAATTGAAAACACACTGTTGACAAAACTACAAAAAGCGTGTCGTATTTGGGTGTCATAATTTAAAAGAATCCTTTCATTTACTATAAAATGAATTCTATTTCCTTGAATTGTTTCCCTGAAAAATTATTTTCCGGTTCTAAGCTGAGAACCGCGGTTCTGTTCTAAATTCGGAACCAGAACCGTGGTTTCTTTCATTTCGGTTCTAAGTCGAGAACTGGAATCGCGGTTCTATTCCTTTCCGTCCCGCATGGGCACCCAGAACTGCGGTTGTTTTCGTTTCGGTTCTAAGTCGAGAACCGGAACCGAGAACCGAACGTCCCTAGTCGTAGCATGGAAGTTTAGAAATTGCATGGAAGAAAAAAGTAAAAGATATAATGAAAACTTTGGAAATATCAAAAATGATTTTTCTACATAGCATAAAAGGTTGTATTTTATTCGTTGTCTTCTTTACCAAAAAATAACCAATTCAACAAGGTTTAATAGCGTTCAAAAATGTATGCATACATCATCAATCGTATGAAATGATTATTACTGTGAATCTGATGTGTAAGACTCTTTGAGTGTACAGTTTAGCTCGATTTACTTTATTTAAGTTTAGAATATTTACAAATGTAATATTTGTAGTCTATTAAAATCTCGAATAGATTGATTGATCGTTCGTCGACAAGTGTTTTATTGATTTGATAATTTAATGTTTTTTATCATAGGTACCTTCTTCTTTATAACCAGTAACATATCCCTTATTATCTACCAAATTTTCACGACCGTCAATACCTTTACCCTTTCCTTCTGCATCAAAACGTTCTTTATGTGAACCAGTATATCCACTTGTATCTGTCATACGGCCTGTTGTTTCTTTATTAGCCGTGCCCTAAAAAAAGAGAAAACATGTTGAAATATATTTCCCAATTTAAAAAAATAATTGTATGTATAAATATACTTACGGTAACACCGGAAAGACTTGGACCATCACTTGAATCAATTTTTGATATTATTTGATCGGCACTAACTTTTTTCGACTCAGCAATTTGATTACATAGTTGTACAAAACCATTGACTTCGAATGTTTTACTGAAAAATAAGAGAAAAACAATTAATCATAACTCACTTTTCATTATAGTCATACTTACATTCCTTTCGTATATGTACCGCCAGATGTAAGTTTGCCTAATACACGAGCGATATCGTTATCAAGTAACTGTGATGTGTATTTCGTATCAATAACGCCTGTATCTTTCATCATTTTTTGAATATTTTTTGAGTCAAGTCGTATATCTTTATCTTTCAATTGTGATTCTGTTTTACCAAATTTAGAATATTTATCGAATGCAGCGTGTGCTCCACTTTTACCACCTGAAGCCATTTTTTAGCAAACAAGAAAATATATCGAATAATTTGATTATAATCTAGAATTCAAAATCTTTGATACAAAAGTATGACAATAAAGTTACAGTTAATGGTCACTGATATCGTTTTATATGTAAAAAACTTATATCTATCACTATGAGTTTTTAACACTTCTCAAAGCTTGTTACTTGCATGTATCGAAATGAAGAGAATTATTTGTGTGATCAATTTTTTTAAAGCGATTTTTTTTTAAAAAAAACCTACCGTTTAGTGAATAATAAATTTATAATTGCAGAGTTCTGTTTTACTTATAGGAATATGTATAAAGAAAGGAAGAAGAAAAAAAAGAAACTCTTTAGTGTTGCAAACACTTTATATTCTTTTTCCGTTTTTGTGCCACCAAGAAAAGAAACCTCGCTTCACCTATATTCTCTTAAATTTTATACGTACGATATAACCGTTGTTCGTTGCTTAGTAATTTTCCGAAACACAGCAGCAAAAAAGAATTTCAACAGCATTATAGGATATTAATTTAAAAAAAATGTAAAGAGTAAAATTTTCTCTTTCTTGTTATAAACAGCTTAAACATCATTCTATACGATTTTAATGTCTGGAAAATAAAAAGAAGCCGAATATTTGTTCTTATATGATTCATTCATTTTTAACAGAATATTATTTTAATATCGACAAACACCTGTTGAACTGATAATGTTTCAGTTAGAATGCTACCGTTTCTATTCTAATTATTATACTTTTCATTTAAAATCAAATTAGTTGAAGCTTTTAGTGTTTTTTTAACACGTTTATTTATCAGTATAACAATATATCAAAATAAAGTAGAATTGTTATACTGAAGAGTAAAAAAAATTTTTGAGTTACAATTTTTCTGGTCTAAATCTCAGATTCAATCAGTTCCGATACATGATGTCTCTCCAAAAATTTCATCCAATTGGGCTAAAAATCTAATCACTTTTTTCCAAGTTACAGAATTTTTAAAATCAAAAACCTAAGTTACATTTCAGAATTCTTTCCATTAAATTTTTTATATCTTGGTGGCCAATAAAAACATTTCCTTTCTGAGATATTGTTCAAGGTATCGATGTTAAAATTTTGAATCCGAATGAATGAAATTTCCAGATAGTTGTTATTTATTTAATTTGATTGAACCTACGGTTTGGACAAGAAAAGTTGTAACACGGAAGTCACTTTTTTGAGGGTTCTCATTATCATAATTCTATCAGAAAACACAGTAGAGTGCTTGGGGACTTCTTTTATAAAAAGATCTTTTCTCTGCAAGTCTAATTACTTGGAAAAATTTTCAAGTATTAAAAGAAATAGAAAAATAGCTTTTTGAACTAGACATATTTAAATTTAAAATTCAATCATTATGGCTGCCTATAACAATAAACACACAAAACTATTCTTTATAAATATTTTCTAAAAGTTCGTTAATCTGATCATTTATTGCAAGTTCATTACATGTATTCTAAACTATCAAGAACAAACAAATGTTAACTAGATTGACGAAATAATTATCCTGATCGGATAATAATATACAGGGAAGTCTTACCTTGAAATAAGAAAGAAAAAGAGAGAAACAACAGAAAAAAATAACAACGAAAATTGTTGAAGGAAAGATGTTTTCTATTAAATCTCGAAATATATACGTTGCATGTATATGAAGTCACAGAACTTAGACTAGTTAAAACAGGAAAGTATTTTATTTTAATTTTTTGGAAAAAAATCTATCGTCCTCAATATTTTTTGCTTTCTAACCATATCAATAGATTTTCTGTTCTATTTTTTTTTTCTTCTTAACAACAGAATCGATAGCAAAAAAGAAAAATACAGTAGCAGTCGTACAGTATAGAGGAAAAGAATACAATTTCCTAGAACTAGAACTAAAGCTAAAGCTTTGTTTTTTCTCTCTCTGTTGGAAATTAAAAATAGCACCTAACAAAATTATATTGTAATAAAAAAAATCTGAATCGATATTTTTCTAAAATTAATGCAGACGAAAAGGTCTTAAATAATTTTTTGTACGAAACGCATACGAAATCATTTTTAACACACGAATTCAACAAACTATACCTGTTCAGATGCGTTGAGTATTAACGCGTATGAATGCGTATCTAAATTTCGCCTATGCTAAGGTATATGTATGAATATTTTTGTAGAAATCTGGTTGAAACATGAGAAAAACAGAATGCACATATTCTATTTGACTCATCCGTCCTAGTGAGACGTCTTTTACCGAGCTGTATTTCACGCGTACAAATGCGTTAATAATGGGTTAGCCTACGTTAACTGGTACATACGCGTCCGTAATTACACTACGTCACCCTTAGAGTAGAAATATATTTCAATGGATTAAAACGACGTTTAAACCGTTTTGTACAAGTTACTTGACCTTTCTATTTTTTTACTCTTCAAAATAGGAAAAAAATGAATGCATGTTAAATCAGCTAAAAAAGCTCTCGCTTTGAACGTTAACACGATAGCCGTGTGTATCAATTCTAGCAATAGCCGATCTGTACTTTCATCTGAAGCACTCAGCTTCTCCTTCAATTCGTTAATTGAAGAGAAAAACAAGGTTCGTTCAAAGTAGAACATAATTTGGGGAAGGTACAATTTGCGCATGCGTTTGTTATTTTGTGTCCCACATATAACTTGTACTTTACAAAAATTTAAAGTTTTCTCTCTTTCTATTTGAAAGTGCCTCGTTTATTTTGCAACCTATACTATAATTTCGGATATGGATCTAAAGTATATGAAGTTCTGTGAGTAAAACATAGATCTTTCAGCAATAGTTTGTAGAGAAGTGAAAATTTTAATATAACAAGTGACGATAAAATCAAACTAGAACAGCTCGATAAGTTACGTAGAAGATTTTTTCATCTTATTATAGGCTCCATTCGAGAATGAGTTCTGATAGTACTGTTGTGCGATGGAAACTGAATGACTTAAAAGCACGTCCGATGATGGTAAAGCACAAATAAAATCAAAACAAATTTATCAAATTTGTTTTGATACCTTGAATGATACCTGTTCTAGTGAATGATCTTTACGTGGCGAAGTAACGTGTCTAAGGTTTCAAAGTCTTTATTTAAAGTAGAACAAAAACTGAGGCATGAACCGAGCGACGGCTGATTGAAGTCTGTTGTCATGAGAATAAGAAAAATATTGTTTAACTATCGTCGCGGTTCGATCAGATTGCGGTTAGAATATCCATGAGAATGTTTTCTGATCGTTTATCGTTTTTGTGCTTGAGTTCGCGCTATTGAACGTTCCAGTGGAGTGCTGTTTGATTTAAGGAACACTGCTGAGTCTGTGGGTGTATTCAACAGATATATATGGACCAATTTGAAATACCGCTCGTATTGCATTGTTCTGTGTGATCTGTTGCCGATCCCAAACCTTAGTGCTGCTGTGAAAAAATCTTTTGAACAAGTTATTTAGCTGTTCTACTCTTGTCTGGTGTTATTGCCTCTTGTTATATAAAAATTTTCACTTCTCTACAAACTATTGCTGAAAAATCTGTTTTACTCGAAAGACTATACATATGTTCACAATAAAAGCCGTAACAGATAAAAAAGAGAAAGAATTCAGTTGCATTCCAATGTGTTCTAATCCATTAAAACTTTTTAATGCATGAATTAATACGTATAAACGCGTTTTACTAAAACAATTCACCTATTAACTATAATAATTAACTTGTAGTTTTTGAAAAATAAACGTTGTCTAAAGCGATTCACTTTTCTAAGATTTCACAGAACCATAGCTTTAATGTGTTTTAACGTTCGATATCTGGAAATACTTACTGAAAAGTTGCATCAAATAATATAAAATTACGTCAGAAAATTGATTGATCGAACCTCATTATTCAGAACACAAACCAACATACTGTCTTTCTTCAGTTCGTCTCGTAGACTATAGTTACCCTTGTACGAGAAAATTAGCCAATTTGTCTTCTCAAAAACAAAATTTCTTCATCATGGAATTCGTTTAACTTTCCATAGTGGAAGCTGAATATTTTGAAACCATGAAAGTCGCATAAATTTAACGGAGGTTGTTTAACTTTCAAATCGGACCATGTCAGTAATTTAATAAGAAATAAGTTTTCACATTCGATTTGAAAATGATTATTTTCATTTTATTTGTAACGTACAGTTCCACTGCAAAAATAGCGAACTCTATGAATGTAGTGCAAACTAATTGAATTTCTGTGAAGTTACAGCAACAATGAAGTTCAGCAGTTCAATATAAATTCTAAAAGACTGTTGGACAATTTTCAGTTTTAAGAACTTTTCGTCAGAGTTGCTTACCATTTTCTAGCCAAAGAACCTAAGGAAAAACTTTAGAATAATTGTAGTCTGATTAACACGTTTACATACGGCTTCTAATGTGATTTAAATTACGGATAACATATCCTAAAAGCGGCTCGTTGTACGCGTCTCTATGACACACGAATCAAACACATTTTGATCTGACATTGTCTCTTGTTTAACTTTTGTATAAAACACGTACTTAACAATTATTTTCTGTCGTCATCAAAAGAAAAGTGTGTTTTTCAACAAAAAAATGTTATAAAAAAATCAAACGTACTTCAAACAAAACAAATTTTAAACATCGCAATGATGAAGCAAAACAATTATTCATGTCAATAATATTTCCAAAAAAGCAGACTGGGTACTTCGGGCCGAACATATAATAGCAAACTGATTAACTCATCGACTAAAATAGTTTTAAAATCCGGAAACTATTGTCAGTAAAAATTGCAGCAACTTAACACGATCAATTTATGGCACACTACCAGGTTTTATCTGTTCCGTACAAAGAGACCACAGAAAACATTAATGCATTATTCAGAGCTATAAATGAATCAAATTATCTCCTAATCAAAGAATTATTAAGCGGAAAAAAAGTATCATCGAGCACTGTCGATTACACCGATCGTACTCGTCCGAATACATTGATTGTCTGCTGTAAAAGAGCCGATTTTAAACTATTAAAACTTTTGTTAAAATATGATAAAATTGATCCCTTATATGAAGATCCCAATAAACATCGAGCATTATTCTATGCCATTCAATCAAAATTTGAACTAGGAGTCGAAGAACTATTAAAACAAAACATATTTGATCCTAATCTGCATGATTCGGGTACAAGTTTCACGCCGTTATTACAAGCGATCAATGTACAAAATTCCAAGGTAAATCCACTTCGTGTTTCTAATTCATTTGATGTTATTCGTTTTTCCCTAATTTCGTAGATTGTGGAAGATCTACTTAAATATGGAGCCGATGCCAATTTACCACCACTGAACCCTCGTCACAAAGGTCTAACACCATTGATTTTAGCTATTATCAACGGTACAGACGAAATTAGTCAATGTTTAGTCAATTCATTGTGCAATTTAAACGCATTTGTAGAAGATGGTAAACTAGTTTGTTGCTATCGGTAAAACTGACAATAAGAATCCGCCGAATGTACCTCTATTTTTCATTGAAACATAATTATGGATGATTTGTGATACTGAATTTGTATTTCTACAGTCTTTCGCAAAAGCTGTTCAATCAAAGTCAGCATTTCATCAAAGACATCGAGAACTTTCGTCTCAGCAAAGTTTGTTAGAGGTTGTAGAGCATATCAAGTGACCTATGTGCACAAGTGAGTGAAACAAGTTTTATGTAGAGCTATATATCAGGTTCTACTACAGTCAAAACAAGCATAGTCGAGGTAGTTTTTCCAATCAAAACACTGTAACTCAATGAAAACTTGTTTCACTCACTTCTGCACATAGATCATTTGATATGTTCTACAATCGATCAGTAATAGACTTTGCTGAGACGAAAGTTCAGCAAGACAGAGAAAGACATTTATTACTTATTGAGTGTATTTTCTACGCCTTCTTCAGGTTATACGGCGTTGCATTATAGTGTTTTGATGAGTCGCCATGTTACAACGAAAATACTACTCGATACAGGAGCTAAGGCCAATGTTCGAACTCTGAGCGGTATTACACCAATGACTCTGGCAATACTTAGCGACGATGCCTATTCGGTAAAAATTTTGATTGAGCATGGTTATGCAATAAAGAAAGCTTATTCTTGGAATGAATATCCGTTCGAACAAGCGATTAAAGTTCACAGTGAAGGCTGTGCAATGATGATTGCTTCTTTAGGATGTGAATTAACTGTAACCGCAATGAATCGCTCTTCAAACCCTCTAACACTGGCAGCAGAAGAAGGTCTGGTAAATTTAATGCATTTATTGATCAATATGTATCCTCGAATGATAAATCAACATTGGATTCGAAAACGACAATATCCATATGCACTAATGAGACTAAAAGAAACACAACAAGATTTACATCGTCTATACACAAATCCATTTAAATTAAAACAATTATCACGTGCACTAATCACTCAAACAATCGGGAAATTTTTTCCTGAAAAAATTGTCGAATTAAAAAAGTACGTTGATTTAAAAGAACATCATCTAACCTATTTACGTTATAATGATGTACTCGACCCTGTTAAACATTTCCGTCCAGTAGGAAAAAAATTATCAACATTTGAAGTAAATGGAATTGAATTTTATTGGGATCAAAAGACGCTACGATACAGAACAAGTAACACTAATGGAGCATATCACCAGCCTCATGATCAACAAGGATCAAAAAGTGCTGTTGTACAATTAAAACGACCAATCACAAATCGATCTTCCAGTAGGGATGATTTATCCAGTGATGGTGGTTCAAAGAAGAGTGTAAAAATAACAACATCAATAACAGGAAAACCAACGAACAATAAACAATCAAATAAGGATTTAAATAAGGATAGATCAGATGCATTACTATTGCGACAAAAAGTAAAATCAGCGCACAATGCAGGACGAGGTATTCGATCGAAAAGATAACTATGAACAATTTTTAAATACTAGTTTGTGTAAAAAATAAATAAATATAGGATAAATCTTTTCGTTACCAGTAGTATGGTACTATTACAACTTTTCCTTTTCGAAGAAGTTTGTTGAATTTGATAAACGTAATTCACCACTTATTCATATTCACAATATTTTTCGTTATAATGATAATCGATACCATTCAATAACGGCTATATTCATTTCTCAAAATAACGGTAATTAATTGAAATATATACATTATTTACTTACAACATAAATAGGCTGCTTTAAAAACAAACCAATCAATCGTGTAATTATTACATTAAATCACATGATGCTTTATTATCTTCACTATTCTCTGTTTTTTCATCTCGTTTATCATTTTCTTGTAAATGAGACGATTCATCGTTTTCAATGAGAGATATTAATTCTTCTTCATCACTACTACTGTTAACATTTACAATTTCAAATGTTTGTTGTTCACTAGTGTTATTCTCTTCTATTCGTGGAATTACAACTGTTGATTGTTGACGATTTTGTCGTTTTGGATCTCGTTTTGGTGCTCGTTTTGGTGCTAAAATTCTCTGATAATATGGTAATTGATGCTGAAGTAGTGTATCATTGATATTCATGTTACTATCATTTAAATTAATTAATCCATATCCAAAATAATTCCAATATTGATTATAAGATGATACGGGTTTAACGTATGATATAATATAAGAGTAATGTTTTGGTATGGATTTTCTAACATGATAATGTCGTTTTTGAATTACATGTGGTCGTTCTAGAATAACTTTATCCACACAATCTGTATCATTAAATGAGAGAAAACCAAATGCGCGATTTGAATTATTTCGATAATTCATTAATTGACATTTGACAACATGTCCATAATGTGAAAAATAGGTTTTGAACATTTCCGATGTTTCTGACTTACGTATACCAGAAATAAAAATTTCATATACTTGTAAATGAATACTACAATCACCATCACCTTGTTCTGGCATTGCACGATGAACCTTTACTATTTTACTATCAATTAGATGTGGACGAGATAACATGACACGATCGACAGATGTTGTTGATTGATAAGTGACGAAACCTGTATATAATGAATTACCTTCATTATCTTTATTAATTAGACAATCAATAATATCACCATATTTCAATAAATAGGTTTTTAAACTATCATCGGTGGTTTTAACCGATAAATTAGTGAATATTAACTTTTTATTTGTATCTAATACCATTATGAAAACCTAAAGGGAAACGTAACAATACTATTACCGTTACCTTTACCAAAAAGATCATTTAATCTATTTAAGTGATTTTCACGTTAAAAATAATACTTACCAGTAGTGTTCAAAAAAATCAAAAGTAGTTGGCGTTTGCCTATTAGAAGAAGAATGCGAATGAACTAGAAAGAGAATATATATAGGTATATATATATGTATTTATGTAGACGAACAGATAAAATGTCAACGTTCAACAAAAAAAATTGTTTTTTCAAAAAATTTGTTAGCCTAGACGACGGTGAAGTGAATGTTTGAATTTAGACAGTCTAAACAAGGTGAAACGAACAGTTCATTCGAGCATGTCCATGACTTTTATCGAAATAAGAAATGAATTGATAATCTGAAGAAAGAAAAATTTACTTTTCTTCAGAAATGAAAAGAAAGAAAAATTTGTGATAATTTGTAATTTTTCCGAAAATTTTGTCGTGCACTATGTTATCTACATTAATAGACGTTGCTAGAATGATGTCTTTTGACTATAAAACTAATTATATGAAACTACTACTAAATAAACTATATTACACAAAATTTGGAAAGTAGACGAAGTGAAACCACAGTTGAACGGAGGTTGAACAGGACGACAAATATGATCACAAACGTAGGCGACTTTTATTCCGTACATCTCATCGTTTAAGTGTGACTCACTGTTCGAACATTATCAAAACAGTTGATATGTACGATAGGTAGATTAAATTATGCCCACAAAGAATAAGTCATTTCTATTATATTGGCTCTATATCTGCAGTTTATATTCACTATTCACTATCGTGTGACTATTGATTATCTCATTAGAAAAATGGCAAATTTTCTGGCAAAAAAAATAACGTCACATCATTTATCGGTTACTTCTTAATTGAGATCACTATTTTTCACCCTCATTCTCACTTGGTTTGCCGCCCTCTGATGTTAATGAAGACTTTCTAATTGAGGCCACTTTTGGATAAAAAGAATACTCAATTCGAAAGACTCGCATTCATCTGCAACTATTAAAGGGTGAAACTATCTTTTTCCTAAATCTATATCGAAAACGCGTAGCTGATGCAGGAGAGAGAGTACTCTATGAAAAAGGAGTGGCGCGATCGGTTCCTGCTTTTATAAATTTTTATAGAAATTTGCTCGGATTCTGTGAAAAAATTAACCGAATTTACTACGATTTCTTGAACTACAGTCCTCTTCTCCAACCTCTTTGCGCCGTCCTTTTGTGAAAAGAAGAATTTTTGCTGGTAAGAAATAATAAGTCCCCCTTTCACTTGAAAGGTTCAAAGAGAACAGATTTAGACAATATCGTACGCTTATTAAAAATGAATGAGTCATGAAAAGATAGATAAGCAACTCTGCAAAACTTATCTGATGTCTTTAACTATCGAAAAATACATCCAACACAGTGTTTGCGAAGAAATGATACTTCGTGTTTGGCCTAATTTGAATTCAATAGTAGTATTAATAGTATTTTATTCAAGGAATTCGATATCTGAAAGAGAAGGCCTTAAATGTCTAATAGTTTTTTCCTTCAAAACATACTTAATTATGACTAGTTTTTTGGTTTTTCATGGTGGATTTTTACTTAAATATACTCTGATCAAATTTTGAGTTTAGTCATAATCAAATATGTTTCAAAAAAAAAGCGATTATCTTTCTTCGTTACTCGCCATACTAAATTGTTTCATAAGGCTGCTATATCCTAGACAATCCACGATATCTTCAAAGTATTTTTCAGATATAGAATGTGCCTTTAAGTGCGAGCGGGCCCGGAGGAGACAAAAAGTGTTTTCGTTTCAGCACAATTGGTTAACAGTTTCTATATGGTTCAGGACAGATGAATATTACACAAAAGAATTTTGCCGTCGACTGTGGTTCAAACATTAAATGAAAAATTATCGAGAGGCAAAGCAGTAGGTAAATTACCTTCCAACCATTCTTGAAAATTGAATTTCTTCTGCTCATATACAAAATGAATAGTTTAATAATTTAATATGATAGAGTTTATTAGTGAGAAGCCAAACGAAGAGTAAATGCTATCGAAGTTCTATTCGTTTTTCTTAATAATCAATGAAAAGAAATTCAAAATTATTTAAAACAATATAATGAATTACACTTATAACTCTTATCAATCAGCATGGAAAGAAATTACGTGCTAAGGAACATACTCGATATTAGGCATAACCGCATCATTAGTCATTGTTGATCCTATTAAGTTTTTAGCTGAATATTTTTCGTTAATTCTACATTTATAAATTCTTCGACTCTACACCTCTTTTATTGTCGTGAGTCTCAGCCATATTTTTTCCCATAAAAGTATGTCTTTTTGTTTAGCAAAAGTTACTAAAAAATTGAGCGATTTATCTGTATTTATGGCACAGTGGGCATTTTTCTATAGAGGACGCGAACATGTGGTTTTTCAGTTCAAAAACAGTTATTTTTCGCATAATATTGCTTAACTATGTCTCAAATATTAACATAATTAAAAAAAACTCAAAGTCAAAAAACTTCTTTTTTCAATGAAAAATTGCTGAAGGGCGAGGTGGGACACATCTGCCCTAAAGGTTTTTTCCAAGGTTTTTTGGAAAACCCATACCTAAGTCTAGGGCAAGAGTTGCATGCACCTGAGATACAGGGCATGTCGCGGAACGTTTCAGTATATTTTTGAGTCAGGCTAGACTTCAGGAAAATATAGGAACCTAAATACATTCGTAGTGCCTTTTTGGAAACAGTGTTAGTTGGGAAAATAATCTTTTTTCCAAAGCTCATAACAATCAATCAAACAAAATTTCTTTTACTCAGTAAATGAAAGTATGTAGGCTCAAAATCTATAAGCTTACAATTTTAAATATGCTTAATCCAATAAAAAAAACATTTTTCTTGGAGGTCGTCAGTATCTATGCAACAAAAATTCTTATGTCATTAGATAGACGGTTCATTAAAGTATACTTAACATTATTTAAATTTTAAAGAACACGCTTTGAATTTTTGATCAAATGTCGGCCTGAATGCCTACTGAGTATGGTGTCAACCATACCACTGATACGTTTTATAAAGCTTTTATAGGGCTATCGGAATAATGTTAAGCCACGTTTTATTATGAACGTTAGGCTTTCGTGACCTAAGGGATTTAGAGCTCGCCTACGGAGGAAGATTTCCAAAATCAACTTCTGACAAGATCGATTATTCTCTTAATTTTTCACGAAATATATAATTCTAAAACTTTATTTCTTCCTGTTGAAAAGACAACGGATCGAAGGAATATACTTTGTAATTTGTAATGTTCTGTTGTTATCTGTAAGAAATGGAGGGTTCACTAACATTAGAACTGCGAAGTTACAATGTTATTGTAGTAGTAGTGGAACAAGATGGCTCAACGATGAAATGATTGTTGATAGCGGTTAAACATATCAAATATTGAGCATGAAATAGTAAGAACTGACTTTATATGATTGTTTAATTGTCGATATGTTCCTTGAATTTGAGTCAGTAATTCGGTAACTGGACTGCTCGTGAATAGATAATTGCCTGTACTGTTGCCAATTTTCTTTATTTATCGGCCAAAGTTAAGATAACCTTTCATTAAAATGTCTTTCATTAGCGGCATCATCAATGTGATTTACGTCGAGTAGCACTCGGTCAAAATATTCTACAGCTAAAATTTCTAGAACTAGTCACTGTCCTCAGTGTTAGATTAATAGAAAGTAGCGCTTGTTTGTAGAAATTTTAGTTGTAGAATATATCGATCGGTTAATTGCTCGATTGTATCTGGGGTCCTGCCGTTATAAAGAATTACTAGTTAGTCATTCAAATTTTAGCGGAAACGGGTTCCGGCGAGAATAATAGAATATGTGTATAGTTTCATATAATATAATGATAATAAGCTTTCATTAAAATTTGTTTCATTGAGTGATGCCAGTGGGGTGTAATATAACCTCAGCCAACGCTTTTTGTTGTTCTGGGGGTCGCATCACGAAAAAACTTAAGTTAAAGCCTCGATTTAAGTCAGACTTAAGTGTATAAAATTAGAACGTAAGTGCACATAACGAAGACTTAAGTCAAACTTAAGTTTTTTGTGATACGATCCCCTGCTCTCTACGGCCCTTAAACTTAGTTACCAATCAAATGGCATGTAATGTGCATTAGCCTGTTTATACAAATATAATACAGTAAATAAAATCCACACCATTCTGAACAAAACAACTTTCAAAATTTTGAATTGTCTAATAAAGACTGGGGGGAGAGGGCCGTTTTTTCTACAATTCAATGTGCTTTAGTGAATTTAGTGTAAACGTTTCATTGGCTGTTTAAAGATCCACTCCTACATGTTCACCACGGAGAAGAAGAAAGAAAAATAATATCATAAATAAATAAATAAGCACAAATGTTTACTAATTAACAATAAATCAGTACCTACGTGACTTTACGTTCAATCCGATTCAACTTTTGCATAGTTTCAAACTTTTATCATATGTAACTTGGTCAATACGATCGTACACGAAATCGTTAAGTAATTATAGTTTTGATTATTTTCAGTTTCTTGTTTAATATAAGCAGAAAACGTCTACTTTATGTCATAGAGTTGTGCTAATCATGTTCCGATTTAAAAATGCGGAATTAACTATCTGATTCAAAGGATGTAGTTTCTCTGTGCTCGACTGCCAGAAGTAGGGCAAATCCCCAAAACAGAACTATAGTTTTTTCAGTGGTGAGATTCTTTCTGGAAAGCGCCTTACTCTCGGGTGTAATTCTTGAAGTTTTTCAGAATTTCTGTTGGAAATTGAATTGTTTCGTCATCTATTCGCGTAAATAATATTTTTATTTTGATATCTATTGTTTTTACTACAGTATTTTCTTGTTTTCTAAATTTAATCTAAAATTAAATTTGTTGTTTAAAACAGTCGTTGTTTACTTTGCATTTCTACGAATGTTTTTGATTATTGTAGTAGACAGTGAGGAAAGAAAGAAGAGCGAGA